CTTTGCGGCTGAAGCGAGAGTCCAGGCGCAGATCCTTTTCGTGGTTCCCTCCTCCGCCGACTCCAAACATCCTGGGCAGGACCACGAAGGTGAAGAGCACCGCGGTGAAGGCCAGGGCCACCTGCTGTGACGCGGACAGCATCATGCTCCGTGTAAGTAAGCACAGCACTGCAGTGTTTGTCTGAAGCACTGGCCTGAGGCAGGGCACCGCAGAGCACGGAAGCTTTCTGCGGCGTACCACAACAGAGCCACCGGATTTCCGGTGCAAGCATCACAACGAAGCTTCGCCTTTTAATTTGAAATTATTTTTATTTAATTTTACATATACAACATTTACACCAAACGACTTCTTATTTCAACATAGTGAGACGTATAGTGTATTGGTCGGCACTAGATCATACGGAATCGGGGCGGAAGCGGAAGTAACAATCTTATATTAGTTTTAGACATTGATCTATTATATTAACGGTTTTAGATTGTAAATCGTGGATCCATAATAATAACTGCATAGACTGTAAAAACAGATTAACTATAAATATTACATAACGGTATCTTTATTCATTTATACAAAAAACTATTATTGAAATAAAACTCTTGGGGCCTGTAATGCATTACAGGCCCCAAGCTCGTTGTATCACAGAAATATCTTCTCAGTTAAATTCAAAATTATTTCCAATTTTTGAGTGCACAGTGAGCACCGCCCAGTTTTAACTCAGTGGCTGCGTTCTGTTTATTTATTTCTATATTTTTATCATAATAAAGATTATGTGTACATGTATTTAAGTAATTCTTACATCCTACATGGATTTATGTAACAACAACACTCAGAATACACACACAATTTAATTCAAATATCACAGTACACTTTTTAAGAAGGTAGAAGTTGCAATACATTATACATTCATATGGTACATGCTACATGGATTTATATAACAGCACTCAAAATACACATGGCATTTATTGTGGCACCTTGAAAGTTGTCTTCCTTTCTTCTGCCTTTTTTACCACACGATTTGTATATTTGTGTTTTCTTTTCCCAAATAACCTCATAGGTATCTTACCATGCTTTTTAGCGGTCTGAGCGAGCAGAATGAAAATACACAGCAACAGTTAAAACAGGAGCTACACCAGGACTAAACCAGGACTACACCAGGACTACACCAGGACTACACCAGGACTACACCAGGACTACACCAGGACTACACCAGGACTAAACCAGGGTTGACCATGTGCTTGTGAACATATGCGATCTCATGCTCCCGTGACTGTATACAACTGCTCTGAGCGTGTTCGCCGATGTGGAAATACCATTTGATAGTAAAATAAACTTATGGCGCACCTGAACACAAACTGCTGTTATATAAAGTCAACACAAACTGTTTACAATAGGCCTATTTCACGGTTGACGTCACAATGCAGAAGAAAATGAGTTGTCGGGTTTGAGCACTTCCGGTGCTGTTAAACTAGAATGGATGGGCTTTAATGCTTGGCCCAAAAGTGACATAAAAGCACAATGACAGCACAATCCAAAAGCACTACTGTGTCCCAAAAAGGCCCAGTATCCTCAGTTTTATTCTCGTCTGAGCGTTCTTTAGGAAACTCGTGTAAACATCTGAACTCACATGAAACTCAAGCCGTTCCCGCGCACAGGAATTCGAACATGGTTCCTGCTGATCTGTCCTGCACCTGAAGAGTTACAAACCTGGCATAGACCACGTACTCGAGTTAATCTTAATTATATATATATACATATATATATCTATATCTTTCTATCTGCATTTGTTTTTTTTTTGTTAACTCTGTTCTATATTCTGAAAATTGCTTTGTAATAAATTGGTTTGTCCTGATGCTCATTGGTGACCAGCTCAAACTCAGCCTCAATTGGGCATTTGCAAGAGTCTTTGTGGCCTTGAGGAGCTGACCCTGTTTGGACCCAATTTGGTCCAGTGCCTCATGGATCTGTTCTATCCAACCAGCGTGCTGCAGAAGACAATGCTACACATTTCAAGGATAGTAATGCTCCAGAACCTCCTCTGCTCCCTGTCCATCGCTATTCATTCATACAAGAGCAATTACACATTCAAACCAACGCCCAATCTGTTCACATGGAGAGTGTAAAGGTTTCAGAAGCATTAGCCACTGCCATTGAGGCTGAGACCAGGGACCAGTCGAACAGCCCAGTGTGGTTTGAATCTCACCCTAGACTGACTGCTGTCGGTTCAGGGAAGCCTGTCATGTACGCGGTGAGTCTGCAGCAAAATGATTAGCCACCCGCACGATAAAAGGAAACATTCAAACATCTGCTATGAGAAGAGGTCTTCAGTTGGAGGCTGCCATACTGAAGTATTATGCTGAAATAGAAAATCTACCCATGCGGCTTCATTGTGCACCCAGATGCCCCTCACCTTGGGGCCAGCCCTGATGGCAGGGTTTATGACCCCAGTGAAAATCCACCTTTTGGCCTTGTGGAAGTGAAGAGCTGTGACACCAACACAATTGTTGAGGTAAAGCACCTACTGAAGGATTTGTCCCTCACAAAAGCCACAAGTGTTACTGCAGGTTCAAGGTTAACTGGCGGTCAGGGCCTTGAGTCGTGCAACTTTGTGACAGACTCAAGTCACAACAGGATCTGGAGATGAAGACACAATCATTGCTACGAGGGAGCAACTTCACAAATTCTATTTTTAAACGTTTATACATGTTCTATTGGCAGAGAAGTGAACATTTGTCAGTTTATCACTCCTGTACATAATCATTAGTGTCATATCACATGTGTACTTCTGTAACCACTCTGTTGTAACGAGTTCATTCTGAAATAAAGAGTTGATTATTTTGCAAACATTGATTTTCTGAAGTAAAAGAAAAGAGTTTATTTACTCTACAACTTTCATGAAGATTCATGGTGTTTATTTACAACATTCAATATTGATCAGACAGCAATGGCGATTGATTAAAGTCAGAAACACAGTAAAACACAGTAAACTCAAAGTTCTGTTGCACAAGTATATTTACGTTTCATTTTATTCATGCTTTTTTTAAATAAAATCTGAACATACAAATCAAGACGCAATGAAAGTATGAATCTACAGACAACACAGATGGTGACATTAGATGAAGTGTTGCCAAAATGCAGATCAGATTCAAAGTTATTGTGGATACAGAGATTACCTAAAACAATTAACTTTTTTAATCTTTCCACTTACTATATCGATGCTGATCCACTTAAGTTTAAATCTAACTACAATGGTGTAAAATACATGTTATTTTTGATTGCCGAAGTTAGACTAAACAAAAAACATTTAAAAATAATATAAGTGTAGAACATTACACTGACTCATTTTTTATATCCCTGCCCAAAGCTGGTTGATGGAGCCAGTCAAGGAGAGGGGCGCCATCAGTCAGTTGCATGTTTCACTATTTTCCTCTCCGTCAGTACGTATCATGTTTGGCTGTAGACAGAAAAGACACAGAAAAGTGGACTATTGCTAATGCTACCAGCAAAATGTACATATAAATCTGCTCCAGTGTGAGGGGTTGCATTGTTAACGATAATGATAAACATCATGTAGGGTGAATTTGGGCAACATTTTATTTAATCGATAAAATTGACTGTGGGGAGAAGGTACGGTCAACATCCAGTTCGGCGATCCTTAACTTCTCCAAATACCAGTCTTTGTGGCAGCAAAGACGGCACGGTGGCTGAGTGGATAGCACTCTCGCCTCTCAGCAAGAAGGTCCTGGGTTCAAATCCCGGTTGGACCAGGGCCTTTCTGAGTGGAGTTTGCATGTTCTCCCCGTGTCTGCGTAGGTTTCCTCCGGGTGCTCCGGTTTCCCCTACCACTAAAAATATGTACAATAGGTCTGGCATGTGCCTCCTGTACTGGCACTCCCAAAAAAATAACAATTGTAAACCGCTTTGAGACTCCGATGTGCAGTGAAAAGGCGGTATATAAATAAAAGCTTACTTACTTACTTGTGAGCCCTGACCTGACGTCCTACTTCCACCTATAACGTAATCGAACATGTGCTTGAAGCAGCCACTTCTGGATTTAGGAGGAAGCTCCGTTATTGCTCAGAGTTGTGTCCGTTTTGCTCTCGCAGCAATGCTAATGCTAGTTTCCAATACTTTCGCGGTCTGCCATAAACTTCTGCACAATCACGTGACTGGATGACGTTGATGCATCTGGTCAATATATAATTCAGTGGTCTTTTTAAACCAGGTCCAAAGAACTTATTTTCCACTTCCGACACATGATCCAGTAATGTGTAGTCTTTATTCGCATTTAGAAGGAAAGAAATACTTACAGTTTTTCATATATCAAATGTCACTTACAACAGCTCAGTGCTGTTAGTATTTGTCAGAAACAGCCCTCTGGTCTCTGACAGGCCTCAGGAATCCTGCCTGTGGCTCTCCTCTGCTGCGTCTTCAGCTGCCATGGTCAACCACTTCATCCAAAACCCTTTGTGATGTTATTCTATGTATTTAGCCGTTTGAATAAAACATGGGCACTGTAAACATTCAGTCGTGCTAAAGCATCAGTAGCTAGATGGAGAATAAAAAACTTAAATGCAAAACTGTGGAGGTGGACTGAAGACAGCATTCAGGAAAATAGAAAGGCTTTGAGGAGAAAGGAAAAGCAAACAGCTATAAAGTGTCTGAAAGCTGAAAGTCTGAGATTAGACGGACAAAGGAACGTCCATGCATCAAAATCCTTTTGATGGTCATCATGAGTCTCGTGTCAGCGGCCCTTGTCCCACACACAAGCCTCAGGCCATGTTGTGTGTGTTTAGCCTTTGTGCTTCTTCTTGAGTCCCTTGTTTGTGGCTGTGGAGCTGTCAGGGGCGGGGCTCACAGGGGGGGCACCCAGTTTCTTTGTTTTGGACTTTTTCACTTTCTCTTTCAGTGCCTCAATGTCCAGTCTACCTTCGGAGGGCGCTGTGGAACAGTATATGTGGTTAGGTTTAGACTTTCATGGCGGTGAAAGAACACAGTGGGGCAAAAAACTAGTCAGCCAACAATTGAGCAAGGGAGGACTGCAGTTTACCATAGGTATACCTCAACTATTTTTATTTTTTTACAAATTTTGGTGGGAAAGTATTTGGTCACCTTCAAACAAGCAATATCTCTGGCTCTCACCGACCTGTAACTCCTTTAAGAGGCTCCTCTGTCCTCCACATGTTACCTGTATTAATGGCACCTGTTTCATACTGTTTATCAGTATGAAAGACACCTGTCCAGGACACCAGATAAAAATTGTAGATAAGCACCAGGCTGGGAAGACCGAATCTGCATTAGGTAAGCAGCTTCCAATTTCACCATGAGGGTGAATGGGAGAGGCTCCACTGCCTGCGACATGCGTAGGGAGCAGTGAGTCCACGGAGGGTGCAACGGACGTGGACGGACAAAATAGAAACACTTAAGGCAGTTGGCTGACGTCACGTTATGGTGTAGCTTCGACAAGCTTGGAAACACTAACGAGGTGGTACAAAAAGGTGCCCTGATCCCAAGCCTAGTGGAAATGCAAAATAACCGTGCCCTGCCGTGCCGTACTGTTACTGTAGAAAAGCAGCAAAAGGCTACCATCAGTATCACACTACGCCGCCAGGGACGAGCAGACTCTACAGTGCATTGTCCACTCTGCAGAGAGCCTCCCTCCTCGAGGACGGGCTGGTGGTATCTCAGCCCACCCCTCTGACCCCTGCAGATGGACTGTTCCAACCGCTCCTGCCAAAACAACAGTATCTCCCCCTCTGCTGTTGGACTATTGAACATTTAAGAGATCTTTATTCGTCCCATGGTCGGGAAATGTCCCCCCGCCCTTCATAAAGCCACATTACTGCCGTCACCTTACTGCACTGCTTAATTATATATATGTATATTGTGTGCACCGAGTGCACTTGTATATGGTCATAATTATGATAATTGCACTTTTACATTTTGTATGTAGAAAATGTGCTTTAGAATGTTTTACTATGCCTTATTCCTTCTCTACTCCTGACTTGTTTCCATCAAGAGCCAAAGCAATTTCCTAGTCTGCAACTTCCTGTTTCTTACATGGCAATAAAAACTATTCTGATTCTGATACCTAATGTGAAGAATTGGGGTGGAAACATCATGCTTTGGGGCTGTTTTTCTGCAAAGGGACCAGGGCGACTGATCCGTGTAACAGAAAGAATGAATGGGGCCATGTATTGTGGGATTTTGGATAAAAACCTCCTTCCATCAGTGAGAGCTTTGAAGATGAAACGTGGCTGGGTCTTTCAGCATGACAATGATCCCAAACACACCTCCCGGGCAACGAAGGAGTGGCTTTGTAGGAAGCATTTCAAGTCCTGGAGTGGCCTAGCCAAAACTCAACCCCATAGAAAATCTGTGGAGGGAGTTGAAAGTCCATGTTGCCCAGCGACAGCCCCAAAACATCAGAGCTTTAGAGGAGACCATGGAGGAATGGTCCAAATACCAGCCACAGTGTGTGAAAACCTTGAGGAGATTAACTTTTGTTATTGACCAAATACTTACTTTCCACCATAACTTGCTAATAGATTAAATCAGACTTGTGATTTTCTGGATTTTTTTTCTAATTCTGTCTTTCATAGTTGAGGAACTTGCACAATTGGTGGCCGACTAAATAATGTTTTGCCCCACTGTATACACGACATGAATGACACCAAAGCACATGAACAAAAGGTTGTCCTTTTTCTATGTTTAAGACCCCTGAATAACTAATTGGCCACTTATTGGGTCCGTAATTACGCTTAAAGGGCCGTTGGGATTTCCTTTAGATGCAATATGTTTAAAAGTATGGGTTTATATTGCATACGTCAAAAAAATATCTCTCAGAAAAGGTACGTGCAATACAAAAATGTACTTTGATGGATCCTACAGTAGGGTCAGGAGCAGTGGCCCCACAGTGCAGTGGCCCCACAGTGCAGCACCAGAGGCCCCCCAGTGCAGCACCAGAGGCCCCCCAGTGCAGTGGCCCCACAGTGCAGCACCAGAGGCCCCCCAGTGCAGTGGCCCCACAGTGCAGCACCAGAGGCCCCCCAGTGCAGCACCAGAGGCCCTGGGTGATACAGGGATCCTTCTGGCAGCCATAATTGTGACTAAATGATTGTATATTGTGCACTTTGTTATTCTGGGCTCGGACATGGGTACATTTTCCTGGAGTTGTACCTTTGCTGGTGTTTTTGAGCAGAGTCTTCTCCTTAGGGGGAATGAACGCTTTGTTCCTCTCTTCTTGTTTCTTGGTCAGAGCTTCGGCCTGTTTCACCTGCAAAGAGCAAACACTAGATCAGAATGATCGATCAACACGCAAGATCAGAACAACTCAAACTCACAAACCTTAATCTCCTCCATTTTCTTCCTCCGTTTGACACTTTCTCTGAGGAAGAATTCTCCTGATGCCAGCTCCTGATCCATCTACACACACACACACACACACACTTTTGTTTGTGGAAGGTTTGTTTTTAAGTGTGTTGTTACACCTCTGGATGACCAAAGGTGAAGACAGATCGTGACCATCAAGCCACAGTGAAAAGTAATTTCTTCCCGATTCCTTTGCTTTGTTTTACCAATGCTGTTGCAACATATTTTACTATATGTATTTTTAATTGGAAAATGAACTATTTAAAATGATAGGACAAATTAATTAAATGAACCATGTGGTTCAGACATGGTTCATTACACATAATCCTCATGTCTAAACTCTATAAATAATGTAACTCATTATTAGAACATTCAGATAAGCAATCATTATGTAATCTTTATTTACAGCCCAACGCAGTGTGTTGTGTGTATAGGCAGCAGCAGCTCTGTGTTTTGTATTGAACAAGTGATTAGTTCCAGTAGATGTGTGCGTACCTTGCTCTCCGGCTGCACTGGAGGGAACGGCGTGTACTCCTTTTTCACAGCCTTTTTCTTGGGTTCTCTTCGTTTGGTCAGATTCTTGTGTTTGAATTTGGGCAGAAACCTCTCCCAGCTCTGGCTGCGCAGCTCGCCATCTTTGGCCAACTCCCGTTTGATCATCAGCGTCTGAGAGCACAACATTGAAGCTAAATCCCCAGATGAGTTTCAGGAAATTCATGTTTTTTTCTTCTAGAAGGTGGGTGGGGTTTGGAGAAACCAGTACAATTATATACAGAAAACTCGCCTGAATGTATTCAGACTGAGAACATGTAGATGTCATCACTTGTTTGGCCCCGTTTCTGTGACGGGCCCAGCATCGGGGGGATTGGTCGTTTCTCTTGAGTTGCTCCCTATAAATTGACCACTTTTCTAATAATAATAATACGGTCATATCAAGGCTCTCATTTTGACTGAAAGACAGGTGTCACTGAATGATGCGGTGAAAAAAATCCTGGCAAGAACCCTTTTCAAAAACAAAAGTTAAATACCCCAGCTTTAAGTGTAGCACTCCTTCACCGTGCATCCAGAAACTATTAAAGTTTTCCTGTATCTACTTAAGAACATACAATTTATGATAAGGCTGTAGTAGTCACTGCTCGTTATTGGCCCTCAGCTCCGAGAGTTTCTGTCAGTGAATCCAGAACAAGGATGGAGAAGTCATCATGGGGCGTAGGTCAGGTCCGTGTACTTTTGCGTTCAATGCTTTTTCTATTTTTGAAGGGAAATGGAAAATCTAAAAAAGGCTATTTTGCATTTTCAGGCACACAGCAATAAACAAAAATGACCATTTTGATTTTTCATTTCATATAAGACATTTAACAACTAATAACCGGATTTGGGAACTAGAAAATGCAATAATTAACCTTTTTTATTTTGTATTTAATACATTTCGGCGTCAATCGATTACCCGCAAGTGGAACGAGTTTGTTTACTTCAGCTCTATTCGCACGGGATTAGTATCACCTGTGGACCCCTGGTCATTTGTGATAATTGCGGAGATCTTTCAGTGCATTCACACGAGATAAGCAATGTCTGTAACTGTCTGTTACTATATTTTTTCACCACGCAAACTCTGCTCCAACCGATCCCTACTGGGAACTACCGCTGTGGCTGCTGTGCTCAATGCAACAACACTTCAAAAACTGATCATTTTTTGCATCCCCACAATGGTAAGAAATTCCCCATTAAAAGTGTGATTACATGTGCTTCCACACATGTTGTTTATATGCTTAAGTGCCCATGTGGTTTGGCCTATATTGGCAAAACAACACAAAAACTAAAACAGAGAATTAGTGAACACAAGAGCACCATCCGTAGGCACGACAGAGACTACTCTGTAGCTGTACATTTTAATGACCACAACATCAGTGCTTTAAAGTTCTGTGGCATTGAGAAAGTCCCCCTCCCACCCAGAGGAGGAGACCACGACCGACTGCTCAGACAGAGAGAGACCTACTGGATCCACACACTTCAGACCCTAACCCCAAAAGGCCTGAATGAAGACTTCAATTTAAGCATCTTTTTATAAGAAATGTTGTTTGATTTTGTCAAGTCCTCGATACGTAATCTTTGTACATGGTTTATTTATGTGTATATGGTGAAATGTATATAGTACACTGGTGTTTTATTATTACCTGGTCACTCTATGCGTACCCTATATATTCAGATCCTCTCCAGTTTTTTCTATTTTTTCTATATTTTTTCTAATTTTTCTAACTCTTCTGCTTTTTCTTACTTTTCTATTTACTATTTACTATAAATAGGTATTTAGCAAATGTATATATATATATATATATATATATAGATATTGTATTGATTGTAATCTTTGAATGTCTCCACCTAGTGGCTCATATGTTTTTTGTACACGGCTCTGTGGGTGTGGTTAACTGTGCACCCTTAGGTGCCTGCCCCACCCTATTTAAGAGAACTTCCTGGTGCTCTTCTCATGTTTGCTTGATGAAGGCATAACGCCGAAACGTCGCAGCTCCTTAAATAAATATTTTTTATTTGCAAGTAAGACGGTGTGCGGGATTCTTCTCTCTCTGACTTTAGGCTCTACAGGCCCCCTCTCCAACGCACCCGCTCTGAAGGTTTTTGATGTGCGAATCCCTACTTCATTCACTATATTTTCTCTGACATGTCACATGGCGGCCGCACGGGCGTGGCTCTCTCCACTTCACGCAGTTCATACAGACTGGCGTCTGACTGCAGCAGCCACAGGGACCATGAAGACAAACACATACATGTGGATTTTACTGCTCTACAGTGCTGTCTTTGTAGGGTTAGGGTCAACCTAGGGAAGACCAGATCTGGTCAGACCAGCGCCCCCTACAGTTTAGCACAAAGTTGACTATTGCTGAGTAAAGTTGGTTTTGTGGCAATATGACAATTATTATCTTAGATAATTATTGGTCCATGTGTTTTATTTTATAATGCATATGACTAAATAAAACCATCTATACTATGTATACATTTATTTAGTCTATATTAAATATGAATAGACAAAATCCACTTAGAATATTTTGTGTTTTAAGTTAAATTCACCAAATATATTCCGCAATCTACTTTAATTTACCATCTATAAAAGACTCATTTGAATAATGAGCAAGTGAATGTTGAACCGAATCATAGTTGGTTGAAGCTGGAGTATCTTAAATAAATTAGATCAGATGTATACAGGAGGTGTATACAGGAGGTGTATACAGGAGGTGTATACAGGAGGTGTATACAGGAGGTGTATACAGGTGTATACAGGAGGTGTATACAGGTGTATACAGGAGGTGTATACAGGAGGTGTATACAGGTGGTGTATACAGGTGTATACAGGAGGTGTATACAGGAGGTGTATACAGGAGGTGTATACAGGAGGTGTATACAGGAGGTGTATACAGGTGGTGTATACAGGTGTATACAGGTGTACACAGGAGGTGTATACAGGTGTACACAGGAGGTGTGTACAGGAGGTGTATACAGGAGGTGTATACAGGAGTACACAGGAGGTGTATACAGGAGGTGTGTACAGGAGGTGTATACAGGAGGTGTATACAGGAGGTGTATACAGGAGGTGTATACAGGAGGTGTATACAGGAGGTGTATACAGGAGGTGTATACAGGAGGTGTATACAGGAGGTGTATACAGGAGGTGTGTACAGGAGGTGTATACAGGAGGTGTGTACAGGAGGTGTATACAGGAGGTGTATACAGGAGTACACAGGAGGTGTATACAGGAGGTGTGTACAGGAGGTGTATACAGGAGGTGTATACAGGAGGTGTATACAGGAGGTGTATACAGGAGGTGTATACAGGAGGTGTATACAGGAGGTGTATACAGGAGGTGTATACAGGAGGTGTGTACAGGAGGTGTATACAGGAGGTGTATACAGGAGGTGTATACAGGAGGTGTATACAGGAGGTGTTTACAGGAGGTGTATACAGGAGGTGTATACAGGAGGTGTATACAGGAGGTGTATACAGGAGGTGTATACAGGAGGTGTGTACAGGAGGTGTATACAGGAGGTGTGTACAGGAGGTGTATACAGGATACAGGTGCCGTTCAGGTCAAAACACTTATGCAGCAGCTTTGAATCAAATAAACGTATTGTAGATAATGTTGTTTTTTACTCGTACACTGAATGTTTGCTGCTTCAATCCAGAGGAGTGTCTGGATTGGGGGCAGAGGGGGCCCCCACACATTGATTCCTGTGGGAAACACTGTACTGCATTCCCACAGAGTGCAAAGTAAACGTTAGGGCTGGGCGATATGGCAAAAAAGTAAAATCTCAATTCTATTTCCTGCTTTGGACGATTTTGATATTAAATTCATTTTCATTAAAGTCACCGACTTTTCCCTTAAAAATATTTTTTGATCTATTCTTTGATCTTATTTTGTTTCCCACAATACTTATTATAAAAGTCTTGCACAGATTGTGGTGATATTGCTTATTATTATTTCATGTGTTGCTGGAACTCCCAAAATATCCTTCATTCGTAGATTTTTATTTGTGCATGCCTTCTTATTATTCTGATTTAACTTATTTGCACCGAGAGCCGAAGGAATTCTCTAGTTTCTGACTTCCTGTTACTCACATGGCAATAAAAAGGATTCTGATTCAATTTCACAATTTTCACAAATCCGATTTTTTCAAAAACGGATTAATTGCCTAAATTCGATTTATTACCCAGCCCTAGTAAACGTACAAACACAACCCATCGGTCTGATTTAGTGTCAGTGACACATTACACTGTCCTCTTCTCCACAGACCTCACAGAGACAGCAGCAGCCGCGACTCTGCAGCTGTGTACACAGCCGCAATACGCATCTCCTCTGCTCATTGACAAAAACAACGCAGAAAGTAGAGAAAGCGGCAATCACAATCACTGATGCAAATTCTCACGGTATTAGTATTATCACAGTCTGTGTTTGGACAAATACAGGTCATTTGCGGCAGAATTATTACTAAACAAATAACAGACATGGCACATTCTAAATTACTAGAAGTCCACTATGCTAATCCAGGCTGAAGTAAACAAACTCGTTCCACTTCCGGGAGATTGACGCCGAAATGTATCAAATGCACAATAAAAAAAGGTTTATTGCATTTTATAATTCCCAAATCTGGTTATTACAATATACATGTCTTATAAGAAATGAAAAAAAAAAAAATGGTCATTTTTGTTTATTTCCGTGTGCCTGAAAATGCAAAATAGCCTTTTATCAATTTTCCGTTTCCCTTCAAAAATAGAAAATGTGTTGAACGCAAAAGTACACGAACCAGGTCAATACACAATCTCAATTAAATATGCTGAATCTGTTTTTGTTATTTGTTATAATACTGTTTAGTATTACTGCAGGACAGTGCCCTTGATCCGTCAGTGTTTTCAGTCTGTGGTCAGTGTTTTCAGTGTTTTCAGTCTGTGGCGTGTGAATGTGTACATGTGCTATCCACTCGGCACGGTGGCTGAGTGGATAGCACTCTCGCCTCTCAGCAAGAAGGTCCTGGGTTCGAATCCCAGTCGGACCAGGGCCTTTCTGAGTGGAGTTTGCATGTTCTCCCCGTGTCTGCGTAGGTTTCCTCCGGGTACTCCGGTTTCCCCTACCACTAAAAACATGCACAATAGTTCTGGCATGTGCCTCCTGTACTGGCCCCGCTCCCATCTCTGTGTGGAGTGAGAGACTAATGCACAAAAAATTAACAATTGTAAACCGCTTTGAGACTCAGATCTGCAGTGAAAAGGCGGTATATAAATAAATACTTACTTACTTTACTTACTTACATGTGTACATGTGGCGTGTGAGTGTGTACATGTGGCGTGTGAGTGTGTACATGTGGCGTGTGAGTGTGTACATGTGGCGTGTGAATGTGTACATGTGGCGTGTGAGTGTGTACATGTGGCGTGTGAATGTGTACATGTGGCGTGTGAGTGTGTACATGTGGCGTGTGAATGTGTACATGTGGCGTGTGAATGTGTACATGTGGCGTGTGAGTGTGTACATGTGGCGTGTGAGTGTGTACATGTGGCGTGTGAATGTGTACATGTGGCGTGTGAGTGTGTACATGTGGCGTGTAAATGTGTACATGTGGCGTGTGAGTGTGTACATGTGGCGTGTGAGTGTGTACATGTGGCGTGTGAATGTGTACATGTGGCGTGTGAATGTGTACATGTGGCGTGTGAGTGTGTACATGTGGCGTGTGAGTGTGTACATGTGGCGTGTGAATGTGTACATGTGGCGTGTGAGTGTGTACATGTGGCGTGTAAATGTGTACATGTGGCGTGTGAGTGTGTACATGTGGCGTGTGAGTGTGTACATGTGGCGTGTGAGTGTGTACATGTGGCGTGTGAATGTGTACATGTGGCGTGTGAGTGTGTACATGTGGCGTGTGAATGTGTACATGTGGCGTGTGAATGTGTACATGTGGCGTGTGAGTGTGTACATGTGGCGTGTGAATGTGTACATGTGGCGTGTGAATGTGTACATGTGGCGTGTGAGTGTGTACATGTGGCGTGTGAATGTGTACATGTGGCGTGTGAATGTGTACATGTGGCGTGTGAGTGTGTACATGTGGCGTGTGAGTGTGTACATGTGGCGTGTGAATGTGTACATGTGGCGTGTGAATGTGTACATGTGGCGTGTGAGTGTGTACATGTGGCGTGTGAATGTGTACATGTGGCGTGTGAATGTGTACATGTGGCGTGTGAGTGTGTACATGTGGCGTGTGAATGTGTACATGTGGCGTGTGAATGTGTACATGTGGCGTGTGAGTGTGTACATGTGGCGTGTGAGTGTGTACATGTGGCGTGTGAATGTGTACATGTGGCGTGTGAGTGTGTACATGTGGCGTGTGAGTGTGTACATGTGGCGTGTGAGTGTGTACATGTGGCGTGTGAGTGTGTACATGTGGCGTGTGAATGTGTACATGTGGCGTGTGAGTGTGTACATGTGGCGTGTGAGTGTGTACATGTGGCGTGTGTGTGTCATGTATGTGTACATGTGGCGTGTGAATGTGTACATGTGGCGTGTGAATGTGTACATGTGGCGTGTGAATGTGTACATGTGGCGTGTGATGTGTACATGTGGTGTCATGTGGCGTGTGAATGTGTACATGTGGCGTGTGAATGTGTACATGTGGCGTGTGAATGTGTACATGTGGCGTGTGAGTGTGTACATGTGGCGTGTGAATGTGTACATGTGGCGTGTGAGTGTGTACATGTGGCGTGTGAGTGTGTACATGTGGCGTGTGAATGTGTACATGTGGCGTGTGAGTGTGTACATGTGGCGTGTGAATGTGTACATGTGGCGTGTGAATGTGTACATGTGGCGTGTGAGTGTGTACATGTGGCGTGTGAATGTGTACATGTGGCGTGTGAATGTGTACATGTGGCGTGGTGGTGTGGTGTGTGTACATGTGGCGTGTGAATGTGTACATGTGGCGTGTGAATGTGTACATGTGGCGTGTGAGTGTGTACATGTGGCGTGTGAGTGTGTACATGTGGCGTGTGAGTGTGTACATGTGGCGTGTGAGTGTGTACATGTGGCGTGTGAGTGTGTACATGTGGCGTGTGAGTGTGTACATGTGGCGTGTGAGTGTGTACATGTGGCGTGTGAATGTGTACATGTGGCGTGTGAGTGTGTACATGTGGCGTGTGAGTGTGTACATGTGGCGTGTGAATGTGTACATGTGGCGTGTGAATGTGTACATGTGGCGTGTGAATGTGTACATGTGGCGTGTGAGTGTGTACATGTGGCGTGTGAATGTGTACATGTGGCGTGTGAGTGTGTACATGTGGCGTGTGAGTGTGTACATGTGGCGTGTGAATGTGTACATGTGACGTGTGAATGTGTACATGTGGCGTGTGAGTGTGTACATGTGGCGTGTGAATGTGTACATGTGGCGTGTGAATGTGTACATGTGGCGTGTGAGTGTGTACATGTGGCGTGTGAATGTGTACATGTGGCGTGTGAATGTGTACATGTGGCGTGTGAGTGTGTACATGTGGCGTGTGAATGTGTACATGTGGCGTGTGAATGTGTACATGTGGCGTGTGAGTGTGTACATGTGGCGTGTGAATGTGTACATGTGGCGTGTGAATGTGTACATGTGGCGTGTGAGTGTGTACATGTGGCGTGTGAATGTGTACATGTGGCGTGTGAATGTGTACATGTGGCGTGTGAGTGTGTACATGTGGCGTGTGAATGTGTGTACATGTGGCGTGTGAATGTGTACATGTGGCGTGTGAGTGTGTACATGTGGCGTGTGAGTGTGTACATGTGGCGTGTGAATGTGTACATGTGGCGTGTGAGTGTGTACATGTGGCGTGTGAGTGTGTACATGTGGCGTGTGAATGTGTACATGTGGCGTGTGAATGTGTACATGTGGCGTGTGAGTGTGTACATGTGGCGTGTGAATGTGTACATGTGGCGTGTGAGCGCTGCATCGACACAGTACCTTTATGTTGTAAATGGGATGGATATTCTTCATTGTGTCCATCACCACTTTTCGCACCTGCCCCAGAACAGAAGACACAAGAACAGAAGACACAAGAACAGAAGACACAAGAACAGAAGACACAAGAACAGAAGACACAAGAACAGAAGACACAGACTTTATTGATTGATAGGAGAAATTCAGGTGACCATCAATTTATATTCATTTAAAAACTTTCCTAACTACCTAACAATAGTGCATATTGTTTACTTATCAGATCTGTCTGACAGCCGAAGGAACAAAGGATCTCTTAAAACGTTCCGTTTGGCAGCGCAGTGAAATAAGCTCGGGGGTAAGAGGGTGTCTGGAGTTACCCAGGATGCCCTGAGCCTTCTCTCCAGCACAGCTCCCAGAGTCCACACTTCTCCCCATCACAGGAACACATTTCCTGATTAGCCTGTCAAGCAGTTTACGGTCTCTCGAGGTCAGACTGCCGCCCCAACACGCAACCCAAAGAACACAGCACTAGCTACAACAGACATCTGACTGTACACGTTTTATTGATTTATTATAACTTTCAAGGCCCGTTGATCTGCGGTATACTTAAAATCTATGACAAATACAAATCATTACTATAAATGTTTGATCAAATTGTTAGGCTTTTTGAAAGCACATAATCACAGGTTTTGTGAATTGGGCTAGAAGTTCACACAAAGGCACATTCTCCTCATCCAGCTCTGGACTCATGCTCCTCACCTCTTTGAGTCCATTGAACGGTCCTAGAGCAGAGACGGTGTTTCCCTGGACCATCACGTAGCAGTTCGTCAGCAGCTCTAGAGCCTGAAACACCCAAACACAACGTTTTATTATCGTTCACACACTCCCTTTGCTCATGTCGTTATAGGAACAGTAAGAGTCCCAATTGAAACTTAAGGAGAATTGATGCAAATCTGGTTTTGAATCATGTTACAATTTTCCCTCATCAATAACAAACCTTGTTTTTAGATTAGCCTACGCTTCTGTGTAAACACTCCTGTCCAAGTCTAGTAATATTAAGGGTCCAACTGATAAATCTCTGCTGATTTAGATTTCCCAAACAAGCGGTTTCGTAGGACATATGTAATGAGCAGATATTTTGCTGCAATCTCGCAGCATGGCATATATTTGTAATTTTGCCTTGTAATGCTACTATATTGGTTAGGAGTATCACGATATATCGATATAACGATATATCGTGATACTTTCTCCAGCGATCGATTATCGATATGCATTTGCTAAGTATCGATTTTGAAAAATAAAATCCTCAGTTGCGCTGACGCTTGGACGTTCAGCAAAACCTATAATAGATCTATGAGCGGGACGGAGAACTATGTAACGACAGCCGCTCACTTCATCACGGCAGACTAGGAGATGAAGAGTCCGGTGCTGCAGACACGCCCCCTCTACGAAAGTCACAGGCACTCATCTTGAGCAGGTACTGACACAAGCAGTGGAGGAATGGAAGACAAAGAGGCTGGACTGGGCCCACAGACAGATGCAGTGAAGAATGATACTGTGTCTCAGATCATATGGCCCTGACCTGTGGAGTACCACAGGGGTCGATCCTGGGACCTCTTCTGTTCAATCTCTACATGCTGCAGTTAGGTCAGTTAATACGCAGAAACAAAGTGTCCTATCATAACTATGCAGACGACACTCAGATCTATGTCTCACTGACTGCAGGAGAACATGGACCAGTGGACTCACTCCTTCACTGTATCCAACAGATCAGTGAGTGGATGCAAAACAACTTCCTTCAGCTAAACGCAGACAAAACTGAAATGATTGTCTTTGGTCCCCAGAAACAAAGAGAGAGCGTCATCTGTCACCTACAGTCTCTCTCCCTAAAACCTTCAAACAAGGTCAGAAATCTAGAGGTAATACTGGACTCAGACTTAAATTTTAATAGCCACATCAAATCAGTAACAGCAGCTTTTTACCATCTAAAAAACATTGCCAGGATCAAAAACATAGTGTCTAAAGCAGACTTGGAGATTCTTATCCATGCATTTGTCTCCAGTAGGTTAGACTACTGCAATGGCCTGCTCACAGGTCTGTCCAAACAGGCTGTAAAACAGCTGCAGTACATTCAAAATGCAGCAGCTCGAGTCCTGACTAGAACCAGGAAGTACGACCACATTAGTCCTGACTAGAACCAGGAAGTACGACCACATTAGTCCTGACTAGAACCAGGAAGTATGACCACATTAGTCCTGACTAGAACCAGGAAGTACGACCACATTAGTCCTGACTAGAACCAGGAAGTACGACCACATTAGTCCAGACTAGAACCAGGAAGTACGACCACATTAGTCCAGTCCTCAGGTCTCTGCACTGGCTTCCTGTGGCTCAGAGAATAGACTTTAAAACAGCTCTGCTTGTTACAAGTCTCTCCATAGCCTCGCACCAAAATATATCAGTGACATGTTAGTCCCATATGAACCAGCCCGGACTCTGAGGAGCACAGGGACTGGACTCCTGCTGGGACTCTGAGGAGCACAGGGACTGGACTCCTGCTGGGACTCTGAGGAGCACAGGGACTGGACTCCTGCTGGGACTCTGAGGAGCACAGGGACTGGACTCCTGTTAGTGCCCAGAGTCAGGACTAAACATGGGGAGGCTGCTTTTCAGATTCATGCTGCTAAAATCTGGAACAATCTTCCTGAAGATGTGAGACAGGCCTCCTCTCTGACAATGTTTAAAACCAGGTTAAAGACAGTTCTGTTTAGCTGTGCTACAACTGAGGGATTTTATATTTTTATCTTTCTTTTTAATGTTCTGTGATTATTTATGATTTTAATGCTTTCTTGTTCAGCACTTTGAGTTGCCTTGTGTATGAATTGTGCTATACAAATAAACTTGCCTTGCCAAGAATGAGGCAGGACTGGGCCCACAGACAGATGCAGTGAATTTGGAATCACAGAAGGGAATCTCAGTCAAGAAAGATGATGTGTCTTCTTATGTTGCTCTTCATAAATTATGTTAAAAAAGAAGATTTGCCTTGTGCATTTTAAGTTGATTTTAACTTTTTTTTTTTTTAATTAATAATAATAAAGTGTTAATTAAAAAGACACAAACATTGTTTTTTTTTTTTGCTGATTCGAAAAACGAACCGAACCGTGACTCTGAACCGAGGTACGATCCGAACTGTGGTTTTTTTCGAACCGTTGCACCCTAATATCAAGTCCTCACCACCCACCACACTGACCCCCCTCATCCGCGCTGGGAAGCGGGCCCTGGCCAAAGTTTTGATCCGCGCCGGAGCACGATACTTGGAATTGTGTTCTGGCGCGAATGTTGTGTTCGCATGGCACCTAAAGCCAGAATCTAATGGCGAAGCGGGCCCTGGCACACTTTAACCGTGCTTTAGGCTGCGCATGTGACCACAGCCTTAGACTGTTACCCCGCAACACAGCAACGGATGACGTGAAAGAAAGTGAAAGTAAGTTGACAGACAGACACACAGACACACACACCTTCAGGGTGGAGCCCTTGGGTCCAATAAGTCTCTGTCGCCGCTTCACAAAGCGCTCTCTGTTTCGTACCAAAGTTCCGATCTTGATGATGTCACAGGCCACGTCATCCTGCAGGATGCGGACCCCCTGCAGAGAGAAGTAGTAAGTAGTAGTAGTAAGTAATCTTTATTTATATAGCGCCTTTTCACTGCACATCGGAGTCTCAAAGTGGTTTACAATTGTTATTTTTGGAAGTGGGGCCAGTACAGGAGGCACATGCCAGACCTATTGTACATATTTTTAGTGGTAGGGGAAACCGGAGCACCCGGAGGAAACCTACGCAGACACGGGGAGAACATGCAAACTCCACTCAGAAAGGCCCTGGTCCAACCGGGATTCGAACCCAGGACCTTCTAGAGAGGAGAGAGTGCTAACCACTCAGCCACCGTGCCTAAAGAACTCTTTAGTGTGTTCATTTTGATCCGGACATGAAACAGTGTAGGAAAGAATAATCTCCCAAATAAAAGATGGACAATTATGCATAAATGGTTTTTAAAAACACTTTTTAATACGCTTTTACAGCTTATAAAAATTGCTAAAATTGAGCAAACACTTTCATTAAATTGAAGAATTGAATTGAATTTATAGATCGTACTTTTTACCCCTCATTAGACTGCTATGTGCCTTTGAAGTTAATTTGTGACTTTTTACCACTTATTATATTTGAGAATGGAATTGATGGGTTTTCATTAAAATGAATGTGAATATAATCTAGAGATAAATATAGTCTAGACAGCTCTGGGTTGGCCTACATCCGAGTGTGGGAAGTCTACAACTGAGGTGTTGAAACCAAGTTCATTGTTATCCACATTGGGGTCTTTTGTGAAACTTATGTGGCAAGACGTGGTCCAACAAGTGGTTAATGTGTAACTTCATCTTGTTTTGGGGCTTTTCCGTTGTGAAGGTGTGTTATTTGCTTTGAGAATAAAAAGCTGCCTGGGTTAGGACTTGGCTTTGGGCTACAGAGGACGCAGATGCCTCCTTGTTGCATGAAAGTATAAAACTAATACCTTGTTTGTTGTGTGTTTCCGTCGAATTGTTATTCACGCGGGTGGTAATGACGTTCGGCGGAAACAGTCCGAGGTGTTGAAGCTGCAAGTCGCCGCCGTGTGCAAGCTGGCTAGCACAATGGCCGACACTGTCATCTTCTCTGGGCCCCTACCTAGCACTAGCAGTGCAGAAGCATTCAGCAGACACTCGGCTTTCAACCGCTGGCTGTCTGGCTGGTGCCCTCCAAGTGGTGTTGTTCATGTTGACAATTGGAGTGCCTTTTGGGGAAAGCCCGGTCTCATCCGCTCGGATGATATCCACCCAACGAATGAGTGCACTCCTCCGACGCATGTTAACTACCAGAAAGCCAGAGCTACAGGTCGCGGCGGTGGTGTTGCGATTATATCACACACCAACTTAGTTCTTAGTCCCAAAACCAACAATGCTTTTCACTCGTTTGAAAACTTAACACTTTCAATCACCTGTCCTGGGTGGAGAAAACAAAAAGCAGTACTATTTATAGTTTTATACCGACCTCCTGGTCCTTACAGCGAGTTCCTAACAGAATTCTCTGACTTCATTTCAAACCTAGTTTTGGAATGGGAAAACATAGTTATAGCTGGAGACTTCAATATACATGTGGACGACAGCACTGACAGCTTAAACAAAGCTTTCAGCGCCGTACTAGATGGTGTTGGTTTTACTCAGAATGTCGAGGAACCTACTCACATTCATAACCACACCTTGGACCTTGTCCTGACCTACGGCTGTGATGTCTCCAATGTTGACATCCAGCGTCAAAGCTCGTTGCTGTCTGACCATTTCTTGATCACGTTTGATCTCGCTTTGGAGGACTTTCCTGTCCCGCAAGATAAAACCATAATGAAAAGAACCTTAAATGATACATCTATCACAAGGTTCAAAGAACTAATACAGCCTATGTTGAATACTGCTGCAGGTGAACCTGTTTACAGCTGCTGCAGTCCCTCAGTCATTGACCAAACGGTGGGCAACACTATGGAGTCTTTAAAATCTGCATTAAATGCAGCAGCTCCTTTAAAACAGAAAACCATTAGGATTAGATCATCGTCGCCCTGGTACAGTGTTCAACTCCACACTTTAAAACAGGACGTCAGAAAATTGGAGAGGCTATATCGCCACTCCCACTCGGAGCCTGTCCACAGGGAGTGGAAAGCAGGTCTCCGAAACTACAAGAAGGCCCTTCGCGGGGCTCGAACTCAATACTATTCAACTTTAATAGAAGCGAATAAAAACAACAGTAGATTTTTGTTTGGTACCGTCGCTAAACTCACAAACTGCCATAGCGCAATCGAGCCTAAAATTCCAAGCTCACTGAGCAGTGTCGACTTTCTCCACTTCTTTAATAATAAAATTACATCCATCCGTGACAAGCTGGAGGAGGTTGCTCCTGCTGTTAGTGGTGGACAGGTTGAAGCGGCATACGTGACTTCCCACTTAGACTCTTCAGTGGGCCTTAATAAATTCATGGCTGTGAGCCAAGCAGAGGTGATCTCTGTGGTCACATCCTCAAAAGCCTCAACTTGCATGTTAGACGCAGTCCCGACATGGCTCTTCAAAGACATACTTCCTTTGATAATTGAGCCTATCGTAAATATAATAAACGCATCCATACAATGTGGCTATGTCCCACAAGCTTTTAAAACCGCGGTAATCAAACCCCTTCTGAAGAAAACAAACCTGGACCCAGAAATACTTACAAACTACAGACCGATCTCAAACCTCACTTTTATATCTGAAATCCTGGAAAAACTTATAGCTGAGCAGCTCCGCTGCCACCTGCAGGAAAATGATATGTTTGAAGTCTTTCAATCAGGATTCAGAGCTCATCATAGCACTGAAACGGCACTAGTCAAAGTCACAAATGACTTACTACTAGCTGCCGATAATGGACAAGTGTCAGTGCTGGTCCTACTGGACCTTAGTGCTGCATTTGACACAATAGACCACAGCATTCTACTGCAGAGGCTAGAATGTGATATAGGTCTTAGAGGAACAGCCCTTGGCTGGTTTAAATCCTATTTATCAGATCGATATCACTTCGTCAATGTGAATTAGGACTCGTCGCCTTATTCTGGAGTGGAATTCGGTGTGCCGCAGGGTTCGGTACTCGGACCGATTCTTTTTACTCTCTACATGCTGCCACTGGGAAACATTATTAAAAAGCATGGAATTAATTTCCACTGCTATGCAGATGACACACAGCTTTATCTGTCGATGAAGCCTAATCAGACAGATCAGCTAGAAAAGCTCAGTGCTGCATAAAGGACCTTAAAATGTGGATGACTCTTAACTTCCTACTTCTCAACCCGGAGAAGACAGAAGTGATCCTACTCGGTCCGAAGCGCCTGCGTGACTCCCTCACTAACCAGATGGTTACTCTCGATAATGTCAGTATAATACCCAGTAACACTGTGAGGAATCTTGGAGTCATTTTTGACCAAGAACTCTCCTTCAAGGCTTATATAAGCCAAGCAACTAAAACGGCGTACTTCCACTTACGGAACATCGCTAAAATTAGGAATTTCCTTCCTAAAAGTGACGCGGAAAAACTCATTCACGCGTTTGTCACCTCAAGGCTCGACTACTGTAACGCTTTACTGGCAGCGTCCCTAAAGCCTCTTTGAAGAGCTTCCAGCTCGTTCAGAATACAGCAGCTAGGATCTTAACAGGTACCAAAAGGAGGGAGCACATAACTCCGGTGTTAAAATCACTCCACTGGCTCCCTGTGGAGTACAGAATAAAGTTTAAAATCCTACTCTTAACATATAAAGCCATAAATGGCTTGGCTCCTTCTTATCTCCAAGACACGTTAGTGTCGTATCAACCAGGTCGAGCGTTGCGCTCACAAAACGCCAGACGTCTGGTGGTCCCTAAGGTCTCAAAGGTCACTGTTGGTGGCAGAGCATTTAGCTCCAAGCTCCTTTACTGTGGAATCAGCTTCATTTATGTTAAGGAAGCAGATACGGTCTCCACATTCAAGGCCAGGCTTAAAGCACTTTACTTTAATTTTGCATATAATTAGGTAATATATAATATGTAGTGTATATATTATATATATATGCTGTATTACGTTATATATTATGTTATATATTATTCAATAATGTATTGTGTTATGTTGTATATTATGTTATATATTATGCTGTATGTTATTCTTTATTCAAGGCTAGGTTTAAAACAGTCCTCTTTAGTTTAGCATATGGCTAGGAAGGTAAGACTCGGAGAAGGTTAAACTCCTCAGACTGTCAGTCAAGCTGCATAGGGAGTCAGTTTGCTGGAGAAGTATGGTAACTTGAGCACTATCCTCTCCTCCTTCCTACTTTATCTGTTTAGCATTTTTAGGATTCTGACTGTAGTTTGTTCATTGCTATTCACCCGTTGTCCCATTGTCTGTTTCATGGTACGATGACGGGATCTCTGAGCCTGGCCTCTTCCATCTACACCTGCGGACTGCCCCGCCCGACCCGCCTGGGAGTGCTTCAGTCCTGCACCGGACCTGTCCACGTTCAGCGTCCACTGGTCCACGTTTTGTAGCTAGCTTAGGTCCTGGATCATTAGCCTGTCCGTCCGGAGGAGCGGATCCCTTTCTCATATGGGTCTCCCTCCCTGTGGGTTTCCCTAGTTCTCCTCCAAGGTTTCTCACTTTTTCCCACTGGGTTTTTTAAGAGTTTTTCCTTGTCGACGCAGGAGGGTCTTGTTGGACAGTTAGTGTCCAACAGAAAGGATTGGTGATGATCAGGACACTTTAGCATTCTACAACATGTATGGACATTTTCTTCTGTGTGTGCTTTATATTCTTCATGTGTTTTAACTGTTGATTCTCTGACCTGTGTTGGTGATTTCAATGGTTTTGTTAAGTCTCTGAGATGACTTCTGTTGTGACCTAGGGCTATACAAGAATAAATTGTATTGTATTGTATTGTATTTTTGTGCAGGTTCTGTAGTTTAGAACTAGCTTTAACAATATTACTAGAGAGAACTAAACTAGGGATGTTCCGATCTTTCATGGTTTTTAAATGATCGGGGATCAGCTAATCTGCCTGATGACTTGGACGATCTTCCAGCAGTTGTCGTGAAGTAGCAGTTCACGCTAACTACTCATTTAAAACATAACATTTCAGAGTGGTGTTCATGTTGCTACTAGTTAAAACATGTGGCACAAAAGCAACACACAAAGTAAACATATTGATTGGAAGAAGAGCTATATTCAACACGACAAATGCGAGTATTTGAGGACTGAACATGAAAAGGAGCATATGGGGTTACACTACATTATAATTCGGTAACACACCAAGGCCTTCTTAACTAGATGTAATCAAATGTGTCAGAGCCTCTGAGGCTCGGTTGTAGCGCTGATGTCTAGTGGACATTTAAATCATTGCAGCTTCTGAATACTGCACAGGAAACAATGTACCATTTTTAATAAGGACAATTTCACCACTAAACAAACGGTAGATAACACATAAATATAAATCATTTGAAATATAATCACATGTTAACAAGCACTATGTCCTCCACTGTCAACCCTGGTTTAGTCCTTAGTCAGCTGCAAATATGGCTTGACCCCAAAAGAATTCTAACAAAAGGTTTGTCAGTGGTTTACAGTAGTATCAGATGTACTTTACTTTAACATTAAAAGTTTACCAAAGTTTGACTCCAAAAAAGGCCCCATTTTCAAAATGGCCGCCATCAGGTCCTTAAAATGACCATCACTCTTTTGTATTTCTCCTAGACCAGGAATACTGGTGTCTGATATCTGTTTTGGTCATATATTATTCTAATTAGTATATTTGCATGAAAAATAAGTGATTACAAGTACAATTATATATTAAAGCACTTGTTATAAGCATAATTATGTATGCGAAAAATAACAATTTCCCTTAAGTAAGTAATCCCATATTTCTCTTTTATCATATTGTTTTCCAGTGGTTTCTGTGGTTCATAACCATTATTTTGATTCAAATAAAGAATAAATTCATTAGAACTGTACCGCTAACCCCTTGTCTTTTTTTATATACAATGATGTATTTTATAATGTTTTGTTTTGTATATTATAATAAATATATATATATATATATATATATATATATATATATATATATATATATATTTACACATCTTTTTCTGTTTTCTTCAGTGTTTCCTCTCATTCAAAGAGCAGGTGGGCAGATGTTTTCATGTTTAGTTTTAGCATACGTATTTGTTGAGCCACCTTTGAATGGAATAAAAGTGCTCTTATACATTTGCAGCTGTGGTAAGTTCTCCCCTGACAGGGTTAAGGATCAGCAGCAGACGAGTCTGGCGATGACTGAACACTTTAGTGTCATCGGATTTTGAATTTTCTTTGGCTTGAATTTTTCCATTTGAAATTTTTAACCCTGAAAAAGCAGTCACTAAAAATTCAGTTTACAAATTTCAATGCAAATAAAATTTAAAAATGACATTCACCTTCAAAATATTCAAAAAAAATAATTTCAATGAAAAAAAATGACGGATTATTTGTTCCATCAGAAATGTAATTTTAAATGGACCTGAATTCATCTATTTTATGTTTTTAACATCTTGAATCCTTTTGTCTATGAATTTCAGTCTCTGATCAATTTATAATGTTCAATTCAACGCGAAAAATACACATGACACAATCACCAACACAATCCAACACAATCCAACACTGTCCAACACTGTCCAACACTGTCCAACACTGTCCAACACTGTCCAACACTGTCCAACACTGTCCAACACTGTCCAACACAGTCCAACACTATCCAACACAGTCCAACACAGTCCAACACAATCCAACACAATCCAACACTATACAACACTATACAACACTATCCAACACTATACAACACTATCCAACACTATCCAACACTATACAACACTATACAACACTATACAACACAATCCAACACAATCCAACACAATCCAACACAATCCAACACTATACAACACTATACAACACTATCCAACACTATACAACACTATCCAACACTATCCAACACTATACAACACTATACAACACTATACAACACAATCCAACACAGTCCAACACTGTCCAACACTGTCCAACACTGTCCAACACAGTCCAACACAGTCCAACACAATCCAACACAATCCAACACTATACAACACTATACAACACTATACAACACAATCCAACACAATCCAACACAATCCAACACAATCCAACACAATCCAACACAATCCAACACTATCCAACACTATCCAACACTATCCAACACTATACAACACTATACAACACTATACAACACTATCCAACACTATCCAACACTATACAACACTATACAACACTATACAACACAATCCAACACAATCCAACACAATCCAACACAATCCAACACAATCCAACACAATCCAACACTATCCAACACTATACAACACAATCCAACACAGTCCAACACTGTCCAACACTATCCAACACTATCCAACACTATACAACACTATCCAACACTATCCAACACTATCCAACACAATCCAACACAATCCAACACAGTCCAACACAGTCCAACACTGTCCAACACTGTCCAACACAGTCCAACACTGTCCAACACAGTCCAACACAGTCCAACACAATCCAACACAATCCAACACTATCCAACACAGTCCAACACAATCCAACACAATCCAACACTATACAACACTATACAACACTATCCAACACTATACAACACTATCCAACACTATCCAACACTATACAACACTATACAACACTATACAACACAATCCAACACAATCCAACACAATCCAACACAATCCAACACTATCCAACACTATCCAACACTATACAACACTATACAACACTATCCAACACTATCCAACACTATACAACACTATACAACACTATACAACACAATCCAACACAATCCAACACAATCCAACACAATCCAACACAATCCAACACAATCCAACACTATACAACACTATACAACACTATACAACACTATGCAACACAATCCAACACTATCCAACACTATCCAACACTATCCAACACAGTCCAACACAATCCAACACTATACAACACTATACAACACTATCCAACACTATACAACACTATACAACACTATCCAACACTATCCAACACTATACAACACTATCCAACACTATCCAACACTATACAACACTATACAACACTATACAACACAATCCAACACAATCCAACACAGTCCAACACTGTCCAACACAGTCCAACACTGTCCAACACTGTCCAACACTGTCCAACACTGTCCAACACTATACAACACTATACAACACTATACAACACTATCCAACACTATACAACACTATCCAACACTATCCAACACTATACAACACTATACAACACTATACAACACAATCCAACACAATCCAACACAGTCCAACACTGTCCAACACAGTCCAACACAGTCCAACACTGTCCAACACTGTCCAACACTGTCCAACACTGTCCAACACAGTCCAACACAGTCCAACACAATCCAACACAATCCAACACTATACAACACTATACAACACTATACAACACAATCCAACACAATCCAACACAATCCAACACAATCCAACACAATCCAACACAATCCAACACTATCCAACACTATCCAACACTATACAACACTATACAACACTATACAACACTATCCAACACTATCCAACACTATACAACACTATACAACACAATCCAACACAATCCAACACAATCCAACACAATCCAACACAATCCAACACAATCCAACACTATCCAACACTATACAACACAATCCAACACAGTCCAACACTATCCAACACAGTCCAACACAGTCCAACACAGTCCAACACTGTCCAACACTGTCCAACACAGTCCAACACTGTCCAACACAGTCCAACACAGTCCAACACAATCCAACACAATCCAACACAATCCAACACTATCCAACACAGTCCAACACAATCCAACACAATCCAACACTATACAACACTATACAACACTATACAACACTATACAACACTATCCAACACTATCCAACACTATACAACACTATACAACACTATCCAACACTATACAACACTATCCAACACTATCCAACACTATACAACACTATACAACACTATACAACACAATCCAACACAATCCAACACAATCCAACACAATCCAACAACACTATCCAACACTATCCAACACTATACAACACTATACAACACTATACAACACTATCCAACACTATCCAACACTATACAACACTATACAACACTATACAACACAATCCAACACAATCCAACACAATCCAACACAATCCAACACAATCCAACACAATCCAACACTATACAACACTATACAACACTATACAACACTATGCAACACAATCCAACACTATCCAACACTATCCAACACTATCCAACACAGTCCAACACAATCCAACACTATACAACACTATACAACACTATCCAACACTATACAACACTA